GGGGGGGGGGGCAAGACCGGCGCGTTCCTTATTCATCAGAGAGGCTGGGCAAGGCGCGCTCCTCTAATATTCCTCATCGTGTCTTCGTCTCACCGACCCGCCTCATACACACGCAAGGTCTCTCTCTCCCTCCCTCTCCCCCCCCCTTTCCCCTTTACGCTGCCTCTCGCTTCCTCTCTGCCCCTCCCCTCACCACTCCAGCCTACGTGGTCTGCAGCGCCGCGGTCCTGGCGGGCCGGTCCGACGCCAACGCGTGCGACACGCGACTGCAGCCTTCCCCTCTCCCTCTCTCCTCCTCTCCCTCTCTCTTCTCTCCAGCGCCGGTCCATTCATTCGCACAGGCCGTGCCCATGGAGCCGGCCAGGCCAGGCCGCTCGCCGTGCTCGCCGTGCCCGCCGTGCCCGCCGTGTCCAGACACCTCTCCGGCTCTTGTTCGGCGCTGTTCGCTCGCGCCCCGCGCTGACCCTCTCACGACAACCCAGATCCGCGCGCGTGTCTCTCGCAGTGTTTATGTGGTGTCCGCGAGTGCGTGCGAGCGAGTGAGTGAGTGAACGAGTGGGTGAACGAGTGAGTGAACGAGTGAGTGAACGAGTGAGTGAACGAGTGAGTGAACGAGTGAGTGAACGAGTGAGTGAACGAGTGAGAGAGTGATCACTGTCACCTTTCACCAGCAGCAGCAGTGTGCGGTGAACCACGGCCCCGCGCCGAGCGCAGCGATGTCGAATAAGTGAGCAATCACGCCCCGTTTGGCGGGCGCGCGGCGCGAAGTGTGTGTGTGTTTTGCTCGTGATGATGGTGATTACCGCGTTAGCGGACGTGCTCCCGGCGACCAGCCGCCCCGTCACCTGCCGCCGGTCACTGGCCGCCCAGCACCACGAGCTCCGGACCGGCACCAGCACCTGCAGCAGGAGCAGCGGGACCTGCAGCACGAGTGCCTGTAGACACCCGGCCCGGCACCAGAACCTGCAGCAGGATCAGCAGGATCAGCAGGACCTGCAGGACAAGCGCCCATAGACACTCGGCCGGGGGCGCGGCAGCAGCAGCAGCGGGCGCCCGTTGAAGCAGCTCGCGCGCGCCAGCAGCGCGGGGCTCCCGGCGCCGGGACAGCGCGGAAGACATGTCGTCCTGGGTGAGTGCGTCGTGGCTGGGTCGGGTCGGGCTGACAAGGGCCGCCTAAACGAGGAAATGGGAGCAATTACTGCAGCCGTGCTCCCGAGGATGCTGGCCACCATGGCGGCGCCCGCACGGCTGCGCTGGAACAACTGCCTCCTCTTAAATGAAGAGTGCCGGGTCTGCGCTGCGATGAGTACCTCTCTGACTCATTCGCGTTACCCGGTCGAGCCTGCAGCATGCCCCGGTTGTTTGCCGGGTGCCAGGGTGTTTTTACAATTTTCCCCTACGAGGTGTATTTTCGTAAGGCCCGTAAAATAAAAATCACGGGGAATGCGGTGGTGCGGCCGCGGGCCGCCGCCGCCCCGCCCCGGCCGCGTCAGCAGCTCTTTCAGGGAACTGCCAAACTAGTAAAGACGGCGTCGTCGTCCAAGCCGGGTCGGGTCGGGTCGGACGTGCGTGGGCCGCACCCCGCCGCGCCGCGCCGCGTCGCGCCAGACCAGTCTATCGCTGGGCGTTATTACCATGCCGCCGGCGCTATTGGCACGGCACATCGCGGGGCGGGGCGGCCGAGGTGGCACTCCCGTGCATCCTATCCCATGCGACCTGTTTACGGACGGGGTCCAAGCAGCCGGGCAGGCTCGCGGACTGCTTTGGCTCCTTTAGGAACATCGCCAGCCCTCTCCTCTTTCTCTCCCCCTCCCCCCACCGCACTCCACGCCACGCCACACACGCAGCGGTATTTTGGTGCCGCGGGGATGCAGCAGACTCGCCCACCTCGCCCAATCCGCCCCTCTCCCCTCCTCCCACAAGACGATCCTATCCCAGCCCGTCCCCGTGCAGCCCTCATACCCGTTAGGACTGTCGCCGCTCGTACGGTACGCACGCATGACTCTCGATTTCCCGCGAATGTGCATTCACAAGGCGTTCGGTCACTCCATCGGCGGGGCCGGGTGGCAACACCGGGCGCCCGTGGCCCGGCCGGCGCGGCGGACCCGGCCAGACCCGGGGCGAGCGGAGCCTGAGCTTGAGCGGCCGCATTGGCAGCCCGACGCCCACGCGACCGTCACCCACTCACCGGCCTCAGCGCGCTCGCACCGGCCGCGAGCACCGACAGAGGAGCCTCGCTGCGGTGCTCCGGCCGTTGTTGTTGTTGTTGTTTGTTGTTGTTGTTGTTGTTGTTGTTGTTGTTGTTGTTGTTGTTGTTCGGGCGCAGGTACAACGGTACAACCGGTACCGGGTGTATCTTTGAGTGCGCTCCAGTGTTGCGGGATTGCATACTCGCTAAGGCCGCATTACGGTCGACGGCAGCAGGCAAACCCGCAAAACACGTCCGCATTCAAAGATACCAGGTGGCTGATTCACTTTCGTACTTATACTGTACCGCATGCACGCGAGCGGGCGGGTTGCCTACTCGCACGGGGCCGCATAAGGAGCCGTGGGCAGCGAGCATAGGCAAACCCGCCCGCACCCCTGCCTGCGGTACAGTATAGTCTCGAAAGTGCGCGGCGTGAATCAGCCACCTGGTACACCTGGTACATAAAATGGCGAGCACCTCAGTGTAGATGAGAACTGGCGTATGGTGAGAACAAGAGATAAAGATGAATTTATTGAATTAGTAATACAAGTAGACACGATGTTAGAGTAGAGGTAGAGGTTGAACCTAAGGGTAAGCTTCGATCGATTTTACAATTAACAACAACAACAATAACAAGTAAGTCAACAATTATTGGACGACCGACAGGCAGTGAGTAGAAGTGGCTCTAAGCAAGATGCTCGCATTCCTAGTCTAATCAAAATTACGTCAAAATACACAAGACGGTGCGAGAAACTGAGTGGAGTGCTCAAGAGTCCATACGTCGTGCTCTCTGCCAGTCGCTCTTTAAACATCTCTTAGGTTGGGTTAGAGGAGCCCACCGCTCACAACTCGTCGCCAGGCGACGTGAAGAACTCGTCTTCCTCGACGCCGGTCACCACGGCCACGGTGTGCTGGACGGTGGCGTTGACGAGGTCGGCGACGACCTCGGCCGCCGTCGAGGGCTTGGAGGCCTCGGACGCGGTGGACGCCGCGGTGCCGTTGCCGTCGAGGCCCCGGGCGGCGCGGATCTTGTTCCGGACCGAGGCGTACAGCACGTAGCCGATGACGGGCACGATGGCCACCATGTAGATGCGCGCGATCAGGTGCATGATGCGCGTGCCCGTGCTCATGGAGCCGAAGTCCATCGTGGACTTGGTGACGGCGATGTGCACCAGCCGCATGGCCGCCGCCGGCCTCAGGTCCAGGGAGGCGTGCCACTCCTCCGTGTCGTAAATCTGTCGAGCCAAAAGGACGGCGCGGTGAGCGGAATGCAACGACTGTACCAGGTGGCTGATTCACGCCGCGCACTCTCGTGGCAATACTGTACCGCATGCACGGGTGCGGGCGGGTTTGCCTATACCCTACGTTCGCTCCCCACGGCTCCTTACTGCCCCGCTCGAGTAGGCAACCCGCCCGCCCGCGTGCATGCGGTACAGTATAACTATGAAAGCGCGCGGTTTGAATCAGCCACTTAGTACATCCAGGCATATTCTGTGGGCGTTTTACAAATCACCCTCACCCACCCACCTCCTTGGCGTTCTCCAGGAAGAGCACGGCGGCGGCCTGCTTGAGCCTCTCCTCCTCGTTGTTGTCGGCCAGCTCGAACATCTCCGTGACGTTGTGCACGTGCATGCGCTGCACCAGCACCTCGGCGCAGCGGTCCTTGAGGCCCGGCAGCGCGGCGCGGTGCGCGGCCGAGAGCAGCGCGCGCGGCATCCGCTCCACGGCGGGGGCGGTGCGGGTGTACACGTAGCGCAGCACCTCGAGCAGCACCTCGCCGGACATGTCCGGCAGCGGCACGCGGCCCTCGGGGCCCGACTGCTCAGCCTGCTCGGCACAGCGGCGCTCAATCACTTACCGATTGTAGTTATGGTACACCCAAACAAATAGTTTCTTGATTCAAGTGCAAGCTGACACAAGATGAAATTCACCATTGGAACAAGGCAATTTTGCGCAATTTTGTCTTTGGAAGAAATTTTTTCTCATATTCGAAAGAAAGTATCAGCTTGTTTTAAGAGTAGATTTGATCTTGTGTCAACGTGCACTTGAAACAAGGAAAAATTTGCTAACAAGAAACGATTTTTCTGGGTGTGCCAGAGGTGGCTGGAAAACCATTATGTCTACAAAATCCTACTATCAACCATGATAATAAATTAATCCAGTACTCTGCATACAGTGAAATGTAAGGGCCCCGACGATTCCCCTCAAAGAGAACGACACGGTAATGATGTTCCACCAGGTCATAAAATATCAAAACCGCACATTGAGGCGCGCATCTGTGTCAAGTTGCCGCACGAGGCACGTGAACTGCTGCTCTATCATTTATTCAGACGCTCACCATTTCGAACAGGGCGCCGCCGTGTGCCTTGAGGATCTTTGTGTGCGCGGGTATTTCCTCGTCGGCAGCCACCAGGATCACGTCGGTGTGAAGACACTCCTGTCGTCAACGACCAATCCAAATAAGGGTTTATGGCGTAATATGTCGCGGCTGCGCGCAGAGCTCTGGCACAAACTAAAGTGTGTGACATCACTCTCTGTTTTGTTTGATATACGGTTTTTATACACTCGAACATAAATTATTGTCGCATCGCGAGGCTGAAACTAAAACTTGATTATTGAACTAAGTCTACTTCCCGCACGGAAAAAATAAATTAGTCGCTCCTGCTTAACGTTAGGTATGCAAGCTTACATGTTACCTACCTGGGGGAAAGACAAGAAAATTGGGAACAGTAGCTTCTGATTCGTTGGGAGAGCTAATCTGCGACAGTCACAGATTAGCTCTCAACTAATTATAAGCTACTGTTCCTACTTTTCTTGTCCGTCCCCCACCCCCTAGCAGCTAACATTTAGCTCGCACACCTAATGTTAAGCTTGACCAACTCATTTATTTTATTCCGTGCGTGCAAGCTTTTGGCGACGGCCGAAACACAAGCCGCTCCTCATGGGCCTCCTCTCCGGCTTAGCGAAAACGCCTCTCCTCTTCCGTTTCTGAGATTTGACGGAATAAGGAAACGTTTAAACGCCCGGCGCCTCCACCGGACCTCCGGGCAAAACTCTCCGCGCCTCTGCGACGGCCAGGGCGGGGCATTTATTATTGGCCAAGGTAAATGGCCGCAGGAACCCCGCCTCCCACGGGCGGGCCGGGCCGGGCCCGGGAGACTGATCCGGTGACAATGTCCGCCGGACTGCCTCCTCGCGCTGCCCCGGCCGCCCCGGCCCAGCCCGGCCCGGCTCGGGTCTAATGTTACCATCTAATACTTGTTAAAGGGGGCGTTAATAGCTGACCGTGGACAAGACAAGACAAACCGCCATCTCGCCGCTCGCCGCTGCCGCCACGCCCTGCCCGCCGACGGGACAGGTGGATGTGGATGTGGATGTGGACGAGGATATGGATGTGGATGTGGAAAGGGATGTAGATGAGGATGACGATGTAGATCCGTCACGATAAATGGTCAGCGGCCGCCACATCCATCCCTTATCACCCTAGCGCCCCTGCCCAGCGTTCCACTTGGTGCTCGAAAGCACGAGCTAGGGAAATGTGGGCTAATGTCGTTTGAAAATTCCTTCCCCAGACGGTCAGTACACCCGCCCCTTGTGCTCGGTGCCGCCCACCCTACCTCCGCCCGCCCCGCCCCTCCTCTCACCCGGGCCACTCGGACTCGTATCGATCAGGTGATGAGCTGTCAGGACACAATTATTAATATTCCCCGAGGACGGTGGCGACGGAGAGTGCTTCCCTGGAGGACGGCGGGGCGTGGGCCGACGCGTTGACGCGTCCGACCGAATCGGTCAGTGTCACCGCGGCAGCCGTTTTCAGTGTCAAGTCATTGCAATAAAACTGACTGGCTGCTCGCCACACGGAAACGTAAATACTTCTCTTTTCCTAGCCCTCCTCACTTGTAGGTGAAAGCATACACCAGCAAACAAACTATCTTTATTAAAACCGGCTTGCCAGGCCAGAGGATACAAATAACTCCTCGTTCTTTTTGCCTACTCGGCGTCGACTTTTCAATTTACGGTCAACGCGCGGGGGATTCGAAAGAAACGCCCTGTGGGCAGAAAATCGTCTGGGTTGGTCCTGCTGGCAGCGAAGTTGGCTCTTGCACTGAAAAAAAAGGTTGGTTGGGACAACCGGCACATTTGCCGGTTGTGGCCTGCTAGTTGCAGCCACCAATTTTTCTAGTCGTTGCTACCATATTTGGGATCCTGGAACCCAGTCGACGTTTCTGCTGTAGCCACTTGAGATAGTTACAACACATGGCAATAGTTAGTCGCTATAACCGAGTCCTCGGGCCCAGGACCCCCCCGGGCTGGCCTAGGGTGGCCCCCCTCCCCTCCTCTACCTGCTTCACCCCCGCTGCAGCCCACCCCCTCTTCCCCGCCGCCCGCTCCAGGCGGCTGCCGGCTCCCGCCAGCTGCGACACGTGTTCGTTGTTCGGGCTCCTCCCCCGTACGCGTCGCTGTAGCCCAGTGGTATCGTGGAGGTCTCATGAGCACAACGTTCGGGGTTCAAGTCCCGACCGTTGCGATTGCAGAAGATCTCCGCGAGGGCCTCACTGGGGTAACAAGACGTACACCTCTCCGTCGAAAGGAATAATGGAGGGCTAGAGGCGGAAACGCCTCCCACATTTTAAAATTTTTATCTCGAACTAAGCAAGTATTTTGGCAACCCATTACTCAGTTGTCACAACCATCTCGAGTCAGTCACCACTACCAGCCGAGCTCAATCAACAAAGTTGGTTACAGCAACCAAGTTCCTAGTAAGTCGAAAATCAACCCCTCGACTCGGTTGTGGGAACCGAGTTACGGGTTGACCCAACCAACCTGTTTTTTCCGTGTGGCTGCATGTTTGGTCTTTATGATTAACGAGAGAGAGAGAGAGAGAGAGAGAGAGAGAGAGGGAGCGAGAGCGAGAGAGATAGAGCGAGAGCGCTTGGCCGCGCCACGCCTTGCCGCGCCGTTGCGGGGCTCACCTCGGTCAGTATGAATATTAAACACAACTCCTCCAGTCGACGCAGGCCGGGGACGGGATGGGGTCTGCGTCAGAAACGGGTCATTTTCCCTGTCCCTCCCTATGGGCCTGGTCGCGTTAGAGAGAGAGAGAGAGAGAGAGAGAGAGAGAGAGAGAGAGAAGGGAGAAGGAATGAGAGGAAAATATTACAATTTCGCGCGGCCGATGTGTCCGTCTTGGTGTGTGGTGCTGGGAAAAGCTATTGGGTCGACTTTCGAAACCATCCGCGAGCAGCGCGAGCTCGCCCCGTGACGTGGGAAGGCGGGGCACGACGATCTACGAGCTCACCCCCCCCCCCCCCAGAAAACTGTGAGCTTGGTGGCGGTTTTCGTCAAGTTCAACGTTCTTTTTAGCGAACACGTTTTACTCATTGCTATAAAGTGAGACGAAGAAAAATAATATTCTAAACCCAGACAGCTAGAAGCACGGGAAGCGTGTTGACGCTGCAGTGTTGCAAGTTTTTCTCGACTCCCTCGGCCCGCACGGCGACAACGGCCACTGCGTCTTAAAAAGGTGTATTTACAGTACATCCCGCCCCGCAACATTTAATTTCGGCGCCCGCTCCGATACACCCGGTACTCGGTGCACGGTTAGGAGCAGTACCCAATGCCCGCAACACAGCAGGCCTTTGTGAACACCTATGAGGACGATCCTGCTCGTATACAAGGTCCGAACTGGGAGGCCACCTAGCGCCGGCCGGGTAGGCAACCGGTCGGGCCACAGTGCACGCCCGAGCCGCGGGCTTGCCTACTCTGCGGGAGTTCCCTCACGGGCTGCCCGACGGGCTCCCTGACCTGCAGCAGCAGGCGCACGTCCTTGGTCATCTCGTGTGCCTTGAAGATGTACCGCGGCGTGGTGGGGATGGTGGCGCCGTCCATGATGTCCCTCATCGGCCCGCTCAGGCCGTAGGTGGAGCTCCTCCTGCTGCAGTCGCCGAGGAGGCCATCGCCGAGGCCATCGCCGAGCCCGCACTCGGACGTCCGGCGGCTGCCCGAGACGGATGTGGAGCGGGACGCCATCGACTCGGTCGCCGTCGGCGGAGGAGGAGGCGGCGGGGGCGCTGCCGTCGGGGAGGCCTCATCGTCGGCGTCCTCGCCGGCCTCGCTGCCGCCGCACTGTGCCTCCTTGTTGGCGGTCGGCGACGGCTCCGGCAGCGTCATCCTAAATATGTATAGAGAGAGCATGCTCAGGGCCCGGCACCAGTCGGAGGGGAGGGGGGGGGGCGTCGCTCTAGGTGCAGGGGGCAACTTCAACTTCTCTTGGCAGCGGATGTGCAGACTGGGCCGGAGCTGACAGGTAGACATGCTGCCAAGAGAAGTGGCAGCCGCTCCCAGCCCCTGCCTCCAGCAGACGCTGCAGCCTCACCCTGAGCTCTGGTTCCCCACGCTGGCCGGTGGTGGATCCGCTCCGGTGAACTCTCCCGGCGGCCAGAGGCCCGGGGCGGCGGCTCGGCTGCGGTCTGGTGCCGAGGTGCGCGCGTCCGGAGGACTGGCCACTCAATGGGGGCCGCGACCCGCTGGAGGCCGCGGCGTCGCGCTGGTGTCACAGGTCACCGCGGAGGGGAGGCGCGGGCGCGAGCGCGGTGACGAGCGGCCACCTTAGGCTGCACCTGCCGCTGACGGCGTAAGGCATGCATATGGCATAAGACGATGGCATCGATCCGCGAGCGCTTCGCCGCATCGCGCTCGAGGGTGTCCTGTCTACGGGCACGCGCACCCCCGTGAGGAGGGCGGGGCGACACATCCGGGGCGTCCAGGAGTACAACTTCCATCGTGTCTCAGATCTCAAACTCTTGTCCTCCTCCCCTAGACACTGCCCGAGGTAGACGCCGGTCCGGCCGACGCCGGCCCATTTTTTCGTGTCGTCCCGCTTTAGCCGCGGCGGTGGCGGCGCAACGCGACGCGGGTGGCGGGCTGGCGGGTGGTGGCAGACGGCTCGCGGGGCGGGATGGGGGGAGG